TTTTTTCTTTAATTTTTATTTTTTTTTTGGTATTAACTTTCATAGTACTTTCAACTTTCATGATACTCGCAAAGGATAAATTGAATGCAGACATAAGTCAACTAAAGAGTCAAGCAAAATCCTCGACCAAATCAAATTGAAGACAACTCAAGCAAATCTAATCTGAAATACAGCGTCTTTGCAGTAAGAACATAACAAGGAAATGTATGCACTCAGAATATCAGCCCAACCAAGCCAATCCAAGCCAAGTTAAGCCAAAGCAAGGCCAGGCCAGGCCAGGCAAGGCAAGGCAAGACAAGGCAAGCCAAGTCGAATCAAAACAATCAGCTGCAGCAGCTTTATGAGGAATTTAACAACTTTGGCGTATGACTGCAAGAATGAGTCCCTTGTTAACTGCTGCAATCACGGCTCTAGCATTGCAATCGAAATTTTTTATACACTTTGCAGCACGTATTCCATTAAATGGAATTGGTCTTTGTCTTGGTCTGTTTGCAGTTTAGCTGAAGCTGCAGTTTAACTATTGCAGTCTTCCTTCTTCTCAACAGCATTTCCACTTATTTTCATTGTTTTATTTGTTATTTTTTCTTATTGTAAACCTTTTCAAATTTTAACGCTTATAGTTTTATTGTTGCGAAAATTGCGCGTTGTCTTTCTTCACTCCCTCAACAAATGGTCGAACTTATAGTCCAAATGAAATCGACCGCATCCAATTGCATCGCCTGCACCAAAACCCAACTAAATAAGTTACCAATATTTTAGCAGCTTGTTGGCATCACTCATCATAACCAAGTCTCAAAGAGCCATCTGGTGTGGATCATTATCGTAATAACTTTTACATTAAAGAGGGAACCAACCATAAACATAGAATCAACACAAAAAAAAAACGAACTGCTTGATTTGATTTTTTTACAGAAATTGTAAAATTAAAGAAAATTATGCTTCATACACATTTTTTACAATAATTTTCTTTTTTTGTTTTTTTTTCTTCTTATTTTTCCATAATTTCATTTTAAGTGTAATTTGTGTGGAACTTTTGATCTGCGGTGGAATTCGAATGCTTCTAGCACAGATACTCGTATATGAGAGCGCGAGATCATATATCAAACCTTACATTCAAACATATGTATTTTCTCGGATGTTCAAACACTTAAGTGCATAGATGTTGTTTGAAGGTGTAGAACTAGTAATTTAGTCGATGCGATTTAAGAAAAAATAAAAAAAATCGTGCATTTTCCATGCCATTGCATTTCCATTGCAATAAAACAATTTTTAAGGGCAGTTCAGTAATTTATTTTGTAATTTTTTTTTCAATCTTTAGTACTACGAATATAATTTTTATTACTCGAATTTAATATGAGTTTAATAGGCTTCGTGTACGAGTTAAGGTAATTCTAGTTACTTTAATATTAACACATCCACATTCCCATCCACATTCACATCCACATTCACATCCACATCCACGCTCACTTAGTAAACAAACTGAAAGTGAAGAATTTTATTTAGCAAAATATCTTTTCGTGTTCGTAGTTACTCATATATACGGTACTAGAAGATACTATTTTGAGGTGGAATGTATACATGATTTACTCTATCACACCCGCAACATATCGTTAACGAACTTGTATCGCAGTTTAATGAGAAAAATATAGCCACGATTAGAAGATTTTCTGCAAATTACAAGAAAGATGTAAAAATTATTAACCAATAAATTAGAAAATTCTTCCGGAACACGAAAATAAGGTATTACATTTTATATTGGATTTTCATTTGAACATCTTTAATTTAAATCATAAGAAGAAAAAAAAATAGACTGCTTTATTGGGAGTCATCATCCTTATTTATCATTCTCAATGATAAGAGTCTTGTTTAGTTAGTTTTTAATTGAATTGAATAGTTTGATAGTGAAACGCTTTCCTGATCTTTGCCCATATAGTGTCTTAATGGGAAAACCTGAGTGATAAAATTTCATATGCAGTATATAGAGGTAAAAATTTATAATGATATTATGATATTGATCATAGGATCAATTAGGAATACTGCTTTGAAATCGATTTACAGCGAACCTACTGTAATATCTATGAAGTATTAGTTTTAAATTAAAGTAACGTCAGAGCAAGAAAATTACAGTCATCTTACTGCGATCTATTAGAAATATTACTTTGAAATTCTTTTAAATCGATTAAGAGTGAGCCTACTGTAATCTATATGAAGTATTAGTTTTAAATTATTGTATCGGCAGTGGAAGAAAAGTGATCTATTTGGAATATTACTTTGAAATTCTTATATCATTGAAAAGAAAATTGAAGAAGAAGAAAGAAAGAAAGAAGAAAATTGCGTTAAGGTTACTGTAATTTATCAGAAGTATCAATTTGAATTCGATATGTAACCAGAGAAAAAAAATTGCAGTGAGATGACTATGTATGTAGAAGTATTATGTCGAAATTGATGTATCATCACAGGAAGAAAATTACAGTCGTGTTATTGTTATTTATTACGAGTAGAACTTCGAAATTCATGTATTATTAGAGGAAAAAATTGCTTTGAGGTAACTGTGATATATTGCTTTAAAAGTGATGTGTCACCAGAGATAGAAAATTGTAGTGAGGTTGAATCAATAAATCAGTCATTAATGAGCTATATAGACTATATAGGAGTGCGTTATTTGAACCCTTCAAAAGTAGAAATAAAAGTTGGGTTAAGCCCAACTTCTTCTATAAACGAAGAGTATATGTACACATCACAGCATTTTTTTTTTGTTGCTTTAAGTACTTTAAGTTTTTGAGTAATATAGTTAAGATAACATAATTGGTAATAACCAATTTTTCGATTACAGTCAAAGATATTGGATGGTTGGTAGTAGTGGTAACTTGATCAGATAAATTTCCAAGTACCTTATTAGCGATTTTTCGTCGTTTGCCATCACATTTCTCGCAAGAACCCCTAAGACTTAATTTTTCCCGTCGAATGTAGATAATTTAATAGGTCTTTCGTCGTTACCGATGATAAAGCCTGATCAGCTGTCAAAGAAATACCTTCCTGGAAACATATTTCTTCTAGACGCCTAAGTCGGGCATTCTCAGATATTGAGAAGATATTTTTTTTTTTATATAATCAACATATTAGGGTTATAGCGGAATTTAGGGACGTGTCATATTGGTCCGTTGTTTATTTTGGTAGTTTTCTTGTTCTGTTGAATAAGTAACATTTTTATCTATGATATCACAACGGATCATTATTTGTACGCCTGTGGGTTTTGGTATGCAAGTTTATTTTTTTAAGATAACGTAATCTAGATAAAATTTTTTTATCTCGGTGCTTTCTTTAAGTGTTATGCTCCAAAAAAAAAGTCAGATTAATGTCAACAAAACCAAAATTATAATCAACAGATGTGACAATTAAGTTGATCCCGGGCTATGTATCTACAAAGTATCGGACTCTTGAAAGGTTTACAGTGCCATTTTACTGTTTAAGATGATAAATATGTGTTCGTTATGCTGCGTACAAGATGTAGATTAAATGAAATTTGAAAACATATTTTTAGATACGAGTATATATAGATATATGTATATATAATACATATATCTGTGGGCCTGAAAGTTTAAAATACTTGAAACATTTCAGTTGGTATTGAAGTTTTGATTAATAAATGTATGTGGTGAAAGCTTCAAATTTGCTGGCAATACGACAGCTTAGGAACTGATATGAAAATTTGAAAGTATTGGCGGTTTGGCTGTGTATTACTGAAAAAAAATGTTAAATTCCAAAACAGGCGTTACGCTGAAATCTACGACAAATTCGACTCTATAATTCGAGAAGTACACGTTTAACTATACCAAGAGTAATGTAAGTAATGTAATCTTATTAAAAATTTCAATTATTTTTAGGGGTTATTGATCTGTATTGATATAACGGAGTTGCTTTAGTAGTAATACTCAATCGATCTATACTGTCTCTGCATATAAATCAGTTGCCCGTCATTAAAATTCTGCTTCATTTATAGTCAAGGTTGTTTGGAATTTTTACTTTTTTATAAACTTTTTAATTTCAGAACTAATTTAGTGTATGAAACTAAAACACTTGATAAAATCAGGGGAAGAACAACAACAACAGCTGCTGAATGTGAACGTGAGAAACATATTTTCGAGGTAAATTATGTGGTATGAAATTTCAAACCATTTCCTCTTCAGACTTTTTTCATACAATATCTCAGCTTTTTTTTCTTCTCAACTTGGCATGAATCGTAAATGTTGTTGAATAATTGCCTCAATTTTAATGCCAATCAAATCGCTTGCAAATGAGCTCTCGAGGAATGCGAAGAAGCTCCAGTTTTTTGTCTTATCACGACAGTGGCAGGCACTTTGTTGACAAGTAAAAATTAATGGAGCGTACAGAATCAGAATTTGAGATGTGTCTCAAAAAACAAAAAAAAAAAAAGAAATCCTATTGAATAAAAAATAATTAAAAACTGAAAAAAGCATTAAAAACAAATATTTACGAAAATTACAAAAAAAAATTCTTTAAAAATAATTTCCTTTTCCTTCACTTACCGCTCGTATCGTTGATGTCAAAAAATGATGTGAACGGATTCCCTTCGGAAACAAGTCCGTATCTGACTTCACGAGGACTGCCTTTATCGCCATCTTCAGCGTGTACTTGTAGGATCTGTAAAATCATAAAATTAAATTTTATTAATAAAAAATAAAAATAAAAATAAATATTTAGAAAATATAAACGTATACATTTTATATATATTTTAAGTAGAATTTTTAGAATTTTATTAGAAAATTTTTATTTACAATAAAAAAAACCGTTGAGCATAAAACCCGGAAGCAGAAATTTACACGTTCATTGAACTTTGGCAACAAATCACGATTTTCGACGTTGCTGTTGCAAGAAAATCTGTTGCTGGCAACAGTCTGCAATCTGCAATTGCTGGTTTGTTGCTGCTGTCGTTGCTCGCGAAACCGCAATTGTAGCTGCTGCGGAGAATTGATAGCCTTTAGTCGCCTTCAGTTGCCGTTAATGCCGCTAATAGATTCTCTAAGCTGATTTTGTCGTCAGATTTGAAATTTCTTGTTGGCTTAGGACTTTGGTTCGCATTAATTAAGTTTTAATTTAATTATAGAAAATCTGATAGCAGAAAAGGAAATAGTGGAGGTGCTCATTAAGCTAATAATGCGGGGATTATGCTATATCTATATTGAGAAATTTTATACATATGTTTTACATGTAACATAAGCTTTAAATCTATGGATTGTCAATATGTTTAGTTTAATTGATTAGATATTTTTCTTTTATGTCATAACATAGTGGATGTTTAGTGACAATTTGTATTCTAAAGTCGGTTTTTTTTTTGGAATATTAACTCGAGCGTTAATTTTTAGTATATTTTGCTTTTGCCTTTTGCCTTAATCAGGAGAAGACCCAATATTATATATAAAAGCATTTCTTCTATTTCTTTGTTCCGTTAACTCTCAGTGGAGCATAGGACCTCAATATAATAGCATAATACATATATATAGGTATATATACAAAATAGCAATTTATGTGTTTTAAATTGCTATTAGAGCTGTGGATTTTGATTATTCATATTTACAATGTAGTCAGGATTATGCCAAGGCAGGTGTTTAATAGAATTTGTTTTATTTTATTATGACTATCATTCATAATGTTATTTTTTAGCATTGCTTTTACAGTATATAATCTGTAAATTCAATTGTCAAGGCAGAGATCAATCTCCTAACTCTCCACTCCTATTTAATACGCTACTGATTCATATCAAAGTACCAAAAATAAAAATAAAATCTTTAGTCTTTATTTCTTTAAAGTAATTTCAAGACGATACCTGAGAATGGCATTGATACTGAACAAAATCGATTAAATTTTGTATTATAAACCATAAAAATAACGATGAAAGTATTTGTGACTATATTGGTTCAATCACTCTTTCAATTACAATAAAAGTGAATGAACAATTTAACCCTAAAAAAAATTACTAAATTATAAAAATTTTTATAAAAACCGGTTTTAGTCTGCGGAACTATTCTAGTGTGTCTAGACATATTTGGTTCACTTTTTTCATTTATATATCTTAAATTACGTTCATTGGGACAGTTTCTCACTATTCAAATATACTTCCTATTACTTACTTCCTTACTGATGTAAGTACTTACTAAGAGAGCATTAATAAATATGTTATGATGTGACTGTAAATGTTAACTATTTAAGGAGGTATAAAAATACTTCTTATATAGCTATTTTTATTAGATTTACGTTGCTGACGTTTGGAAGGACGGGGTTTTTAATCACTTATTTCAACTGAACTAGTGCTTGTGTAATCATTTGCTTCATTACTAACTATATAAGCATATCCGGGTTCTCAGCAAAGCATTAATAAATTTTTTTGACTAATTTTGTTGGCTAATTTTTAGCACCCCACTAATCTATGGACTGGGTAAAATTAAGTTAGCTCTTAGTAGTATGAATGTCTTTTTCAAAGCCAGAGCCAATTATTTATCTGGAGATATAAATATTGTATTTGTTGTTATAAAGGCAATATCAAGCTGAGCTTGTTTTTTTCCATACAGTTTTAAATTTATTACCGATTTCTTTATACTATGGATTCACTCACGTTATCAGCTTTGTTTAAGTACTATTCTATAGTTTCTATATGGACGTGATATTGCTTATACTAAGTTTAAATAATTAAATGAGTCCCTAAAAGCGATCTGGAATGTGGTTAAACTGATAGCTATTCCCAGTACAATTTTAATCGTTCATATTTTTCTCTCAGCAGATGAAGGGGTTCTGTGTTTACAAGTAAAGATGGCTTTTATTTGCTTTTAAGCGTAACATGTCACGGAACTCATTGAAGTCATACTTGATTTTTTTTTGCCATTTTTACGTTATTTAGAGCATAATTATAACATAATTAGGTTAAATGATATTATTGCAGTGATCGCATGTATACTCCTAGGTCTATTAATTCATTTTAAAGCTCATATAAATCTGGAAGTATTTTAAACTACTTCGAAATTTTAATGAAGCACTAAATGCTCTTCAAAGTAAAAACTTGCAACTGAGATATTTACTAAGAAGTAAGTATCTCAAACGTGTAACAATCTCTTCAATTAAATTTTTCTGAATGCTGTTGAAGTTGTTTGTATCTTTTTCTCTGCAGGGTATTTAACTTTTTTAAAAGTGTCGTAAAATAATTTAGTAAAATGATAATAAAATGTTTTATATAGCTCTTATGAGTTATTTCGTAAAACATATCATATGTTTCGAATATTCTATACATGTTTACTAGATTCTATGCTGTCATAAATTCATTGGAACTAAAAGTATTTACTGTTTATTGTTATGATTTTGCATAAGAGAACAGGCTTTAACTAATAAAAGACCGCACAGTAGCTGAAACACATAACGATGCTCTGTATTATTTGTGATTGTAAAAAGTATCTGAAGTTGTTAGGAGAAGGTTTGCACAACATGTTAACTTACCTTATCACCCGGAAGTATGCCAGGTGGCAATTTAGTGACAGGTGGAGCTAATGTGAACACTGGTGGTTGGTCTTGGACATCTTGCACAATAACCACAATCTCCATACCGGCTATATTGCGACTATCTTGACCAGGTTCTGCATAAGCATCCTAAAAATAATAAACAAAACAATAAAATTTAATAGACTGGCAATAAACTACAAACACACACACACACACACACACGTACATACAGACAAAGATTCTATTTAGAATAACAAAAAAGTGAAGAGTGAAGGTTCCTCTACTACTCGTAGCACTGGTACGAGTAAATATGCAAAGAGTCTGTTTACCATTCAATAAGAAGGAATTATCAATTATTTTGATTCGTTCAAGACTTAGATTACATTCGATGCACTTAAATGGTTTTTTATTATTATTATTTTATTCTTAACTGATGACGTTGTTGCTTGCATTGCTAAAGTTAACTGTTAACTAGAAAATGTTAATGACCAGTGCAAATCTTAATTAACGTGATCAGGCAGCAGGAACATGGAACCACCGTTAAGTAATTAGGAAGCTGTGGCCTGTATCTTAATGGTTCTTATGTTTATATTATTATTATTTTAATATTGTTGCCATCACTTGAACTTATTAATGATATGTATTTGAGATAGAAATCATTTCAATTTAGTTTCATGCATAAATATCGTTTTAATTTTAATTGAAAAGTTACTTGATATGTGAGTATGTGAGCTCACTTTGGTACATAAAAGCATCTTGCCTAGCAGTAGATTTATTTGCGATGCAAGAGTATCTCGAGTATGTGTAACTTAAGCACAAGTTCGAAGATATAAGAAAACTGAATTGCTTCTTGAAAATTACCATAAAAATGAAATTACAAAAGCAAATAAATAAATAAATAAATTAAATTAGAAAACAATAAACAAAAACAAAGAAATGCGATTGTTTTATTTAAGCAGTAAAAGTAATTGTGTAGAAGACTGCCTTTGAACTTTCTCTTGTCAATACTTACATTCTGGCACAATTCACGTATGCATTTTTTTCTTTAACATTTTTTTATCTTTATTTTTATTTTTATTTTTATTTTTGTTTAAATTTAAATATATTTTATTGCATTAAATATACGCTACTTGCACTGCAATTGAACTGCGCTGAATTCATAAAAATAAACCTGAGTGTGCCCCAACAAGCATTGAGGAATACTTAATTCGAGCAGCGGCGTATATGAGATACTTGCTTACTCACATGCATTCAGAAGCGGTTCGACATGTACGCTCCGGTCGCAGCAAAGCAATGACTGCCTGCATTCTCGTATGTTTGTATTTCAT